TTTCTTCGTCCGACGAAGACGACATCTTCTATGCATCTATGCGATTGCTACCTTGATGTGAACATGTCTGCATCTTTTTTGTCACGTTACATGCTGCTAGCCACGTATCGTGCTACGCTACGCAGTATGTTACTTCGGTGTGAAATCTGGCTAAGGTGTCCCATTAGTCGGCTGTAGTTGGGCTATAAGCCGAGCGAATTGTTCGTCCGTGAGGGTTGCCATTATCGGGTTTAATCTCGGGCTTCTTCTTGGTGCAGCTGTTGTTCCGCGAATTTTATACGTACACTCGCCTCTGCATTTCTCCAGCCACACGTTGTTGGGCGCCAAAATAGTAGTGAGAAAGTTTTTCGTTTCAAAGTAAAGTTTATTTAAACATATAAAAATATAAAATTAACAAAAAAACATAAGAAAAAAAATTTAAGACTATACGCACTAACAACGGAGAACTCCGGAGTTGTGTTTGGAATACGCTCCTCTCTCAGTAGATCAGCTCTTAGAGTGCGACCAAGATGAGAGCTGCCGTTCCTGGAAAAAACTTAAAAAAAACTTTTGGGTATTTCATTCCCATCAGCCACTAATGCTGGTGGACGGGCAGTCCCTCCGGACTACGCCGGAGGTAGGGCGGAAGGCCCTCTTCAGCCTACTTTCAGGAATCGTGGTGGTTCGGGTGAGAAAGTTGAGACGGACGAAATAAAGACAGAAGAGAATGAAATATTATCTGTGGAATATTACTGCCCCAGCATTTGCCTAAGTGATCCAAGGAAATCACAGAAAAACTTGGACCAAGGCAGACGGACCCGGAATCGAACGGGGGTCCTCCCGAATGCTAAGCAATGGTCTAAACCTCTAGGTCATGCCGCTCGGTGCCGTTCCTGGCCGGGGCATCTCCTTTTATTCACGTCTGGCGTGAAGGGGTTGTCGAGCGAGTACCGAGAAGGTGATTTTCAGGAGTACGAGAGCGATGGAGATCGAACTGCTTAAGTTGCAAGTGCGCCAAAATATAAGTTTTAAAAATGGTCCGCGTTACAAAACGTATTATCTGTTTCGAGTCTAGATTCTATAGCGAGCAAACGTTTTTGTTGAGAATTTTCGCAGTAATGCGCTTGTGGTGAGAGAATTCGTTTTTCGGGAATTTCTTCAGTTTTCCAAAATTTCGTCAAAGTGTTATTGAGATATTATTTAAATCTATTGTTCCTGTAAAAATCTAACGTAATAAAGTTTTCCGAAGTACTAGTTTACCTATACCCAATTTGTATTGATTCTGACGAAATAATGCCTAAAATATGCTTGCTCCGAGTAAAACATCTGTTGGTTTCATTATTTTATTATTTATATTAAACTCTGGATCAGCATAATAAGAACCTGTCTCATGTCAATAAACTGCTACTGAAGCTAACACTAGGATTTTTTTCTGCAATTGATTCTAAAGTGAGAAATAATAGATTTACTTTTAATGCATTAAGCCATTAACCAATTTCTACCTTTGTCCGATGAGTGATAATTGTGGTTTTTTAATTTATTCCTGTAATTAAAATCTTAAATTCTTCAGATTTTGAATTTAATTTTCTGTATAGCTCTTTTTTGTAATTATATTGGTTTGACTTCTTGAATCTAAAAGAATATTGCAAACTAGTGCCTTGTATTTTTTCTGTTGTCAATAACACAAACCCATTTAATTGTTTGTTACCATTTATATGTACTGTTGAAGTCTCTAAAATTACATTGTTCTTATTTTTAACATCTGTGACACAAAAACTTTGCCTTGCTTGTATTAATTTCATATGATGTTTGATTGTATATATTTTTATGTAATGTGGTAGATCATCTACTTCTAGTAACCTTTTTTATTCTTTTGAGCGCACGGATCCTCTTGATATATACGATTGGTTTCCCTTTTTTTTTGGGACTACCTGATTTGATTTTGAGTTTCATCGTCTGAGTTTATGTAATAATGCATTGTGATTATGTTGCAACGTTTACATTTTCCTGATTTACAATTTAATTTTAAATGACCTGGACGAAGACAATTAATGAACACCTTTAAGTTTCTTATCTGGATGTATTTTCGACTATTAAATACAGCAAGGATATTGGACCTGTACATTTTCAAGTATCTTTAAGTTTGTTCTGAATATTAAAACTTTTTTGGTTTCATATAACTTTTATTTTCATTAGCTTGATTATTTGTTGTATCTAAGATGACGTACCTTTATTTCTTGTAATTTGCAATTGCAATTTTTTATTCAAAAATTTCATTATTTCAGCATAAGTAGGTAAATAATCATCACCGTTTAATGAAATTTCCCAATTGTGGTTTGTAGTGTTTACCTTTGATGTGATTAAATTTACTAAAATTGTTTCCCATTGTTTAAGTTACGAATTTAATTTTTCTAACGCGGCAGCAAGATAAAGAAAACGTCCGTTAATTGTTTTAAAGAAAAAGCTGATAGTACATTTAATTCAAAAATGCTGTAATGTGTGTGTTTATTGTATTACGTTATTGTATGTTGAAATCTGTTAACTAGTTTGTTCTACGGTGTTAAATAACTATCATCAAGATTTCAAAAATCTCAATATAGGTGTGTTTAATAAGTTTAAATTAATTCAGTGTATTGGTGAATTAACTCTTCAAATTAATTTTACCCACTAGGCTCAGATAACCTAAAATTAATGAGCAAAAATTGTTGCTGCTTCGCTCTATTGCTGAAAATCGATCCCGAGAGGTGACAGCAGAAACACCTTACCTGAGAGTATAAGTAGCAAAATCATCGAACTAATGTATAATCATTATTATTAATAAATAAAATTGAACGATATTCACACAATTATTAGTATTTTGATCGTTTAGAGATATACTTAGTTTGGCACGACACAATAACAAAAAATCAAATGGGCGTAGTGAACAGTCATTATTCACTATGTACAGTAATATTAACGAAAAAGTTATATACAAAAGGATGTAGCGTAATAGAGAAGAAGATAGCGAAAAAGTTGATAGATTGATAAATAAGTTGAAGGTTGAAGAATGACGGTGAGATAACTGATAGCGCGTTCTGATCTATTCTGGGTTCTCTAATTTCGGTTTTCAGGGTTTTTAAACGGTTGTAAGAAAGTGAGTAGGGGAACATTCACGGAGGATTCTAGTTTGGTGTTATTCGATGGAATACCAGAAAAGTGGATAAAGGAGATGACCGTGACTAAGGTAATGAGCGTAAAAATGTGTAACTGACAGAATGTAGCAAAGGGCATATATATAATATTCCTATATTGCTATTTCCCGTAAGTGGAAGTGTCACGGAGTAAGTGAGACAACAAACGACTACTTCTGTCTCTTTTTAGATTACTCGATCCGTTGTGCGCAATCGTCACGAGCCTGGTGGGGTAAATGGTGTGCACTTATAGGCATGTTCAATTGTCGAGTATGCGCGTAATACTCGAAGTAGTTACGAGAGAGACAGACGCATATATGTCTGCACCGTTGGGTCGTCATCTTTTTCCAAACCCCGACTAGCAATATAGGAGTATTATATGTATAGGAATGGGTCACTTTCTGTAATTAGGTAAGAGCATGAAGTTTAACACCAACTGAGAGACTCCATAATAGGATAAGTTCGGACAGGATTTGTAAAGAATTTAAAAAGAATAGACGAGTTTGAAAGCAAAACTATAAGTTAAAAATACACAAAAGAAAAGNGGACTTCACTAATGCCTACTATATCTAAATCTAATCTATTCATATCAACTTTCAAACTTTTTAGATTCCCTGCTTGAGTCATTGCCCTAACACTCTACGTTCCGACTCATGAATTACTGCACCTTTTCTTATTGCACTTGATAGACATCCCTCGAGGTAGTCCCCGCCCGGTCATCCGAATAGGGGGACTTGTTTACGTCAGGAGTGCTTTACCCCTGAGGACATCATTATTCCAGTTCGGTTTGTTTTATTTTGGACATCATAATGTAATGGTTTCCCGTTGCCGTCCACATCGCCGTATTATGCACGAGTGGCATACCGACCCTCATTTTTTCTGCCACCTTGAGTACTGAAAGAGCTGCTGCCCTCTTTCAGGGATTTGTCTTTATCTGGTTTCTCTTTAAGAATCCAACCATTATGGTTGAACCTACTGTCCAGCTCCCTAAATCCTCGAAACTGGCAAGCCGATCGACCCGCTCTAGTTTGTACAAGAAGTCTCGTCGGATCGGCCATTATGCTTAACGTTTCTTAAATCATAAGAACTTGTACCTTACACGATATAAAAAAGCAAGATGAGTAAAAAAAGTTGAATGATTGAATAATTTATTCCATGATTACTAAAAAATTATTATACAAAATATAGTTTAAAGAATAATACAACAAGTCGAACAATTAAATAGAACAATGCTTAAGATTGCATAATACATTAAGGCACCTACAATACGGTAAGCTACTATATTTGTGCACTTTTTTAATATAGCATCAATTAACAATTCTTATATAGTGTCAATCTCAAAAGATTTAAAAAATATATAACTGCATTTAATATTTAGCAAAAACAATTATTATTCAGATTCTTCAGTCTTTGTAAAAATTAAACAAGCTCGTTACAGATCTTCAAATGAGTATAACTGTTGAGATTCCTGAATAAATAGTAAAGAGCTATCAATATTTATGCAACCAGAACTTCATAATTGGCAAAATTAAGTTCTTGGCCTCCATAAGAAATATAACAAACGCCGTGACTTGGTTGTATTTTGCCAACAGTAATGGTGCCCTCATGAGTTACACGACCAATAAAAAGAGGTTCGCTTTCTTCGGTTTCTCCAGCCGCAGGAGCATTTGGAGGAACTTTTCCTTCAGAAGAAGGAACCCAAGTCCCATTAAAATCGCATAAAACTTCATATTCGGAAACTGGATTCTCCTCACCTCCCCAAGGAACATAAGCCGTTCCTGAAATATAACATTAAGCTATTAAGTTGCTGCGTTTAGCAATGAAAAAATAGAAATATAAGGAATATTTCAAAACTGTTTTCCTGTATTTTTGTTTGCTGGTATATAACACAAACGGTGATAAAGAAGTAAATATGTAGTCTATTTGTTGTTTAATTCTCAATTTGAAATAAATTACAGTGTAATTCCTTGCCGTTCTGAATGTTATGACATCATCAACAGATTATTGTAATGACATTTTATTTCATTTGCATTAATGAAAATATATTTTTAGAGCTGAAATAGTATCATGTGTATTAAAATAATCATCTTTCCAATGAGGACAAAATAATATTAAAAAATAGTGAAATTACTAGATGAGTTACTTTGTCAGCTAAATATAGATTGATAATATTAACTTCAAAACCCATAGCATAACGAAGTTGTGATAGAAAAATTTTTCTACAAAATTAAATTATTAATTTTATTCAGAATTATAATAATATACTTACCATGGCTAGAAATTAATTTTCCGGGAATGATACCGCCCTGAAAGTTAGCTCTAATTACATACTGCGGCTCTCCATTATCTTCGCCGCCAACAAAAGCTCGAGGTGGAACGTTACCCCCAGAGGCAGGAATCCAACACATCTTGGAAGATAAAGTCGAAGAATTAGGAGTAGACTCCTCAATAATCCACTTTCCAGATGCACCCCACCCAGTACAAATGCCCACATAACTAATAGGGATATTTTCGGAGTCTGTCCAACTAAGAAACGGTTGACTTTCCCCTTCGTTACCGACAGAAATAGTACCATTTCTCCAACGAACCCAAAATCCCCGAAATTCCCCAGCATTCAATATACCAGGTGTAGGTACCTACAATAAAACATATAATTAATTCAGATGTTAACATTTAAAAAGAATAATCAAAGTACCTAATAACAGGGTATTCCACCTAAGGCGGTTTCGTCTAAAACTCTATTATTATACATTTTAAAAAGAAAATGTTTTTATAAAAGTGCTCTGGAATCATGTGGTGCATATACAGAAAATATTTTCAATCATACAAGGTGTTCCATAACGCTACATAACTTTGTTATTTTAAATATAACACCTTATATATTTTTACATTTTTGGTTTCTTTGTTTAGTTTTAGGTCGACTTTGTTAACAGTTCCATATACCTATCTCTAGTAGTTTTTGAGATATTCAACTATCTTTGAAGAAAACACAATTTCAGCTGTTTAAAGACCAAAAAGCATCTAAACCATAAATGCTAAAAACCTGCGGTTTCTACAGTTCGTTTTAACACGAATTACCGTATCTTTTTTGCTATGGGCAAAATGTGTACGTTATTCAGAGCCGAAAATATCGCAACCTACTTTTGATAAGGTTACAAAACGAATAACCTTTTTGTTTTAATAGAATGACCATGTTAAATGATAAAATAATTGATTTTTCCGGGAAAGCTGTTTGAGATAAATATTTAAAACCTCGTATCAATATAAAAGGCTTTTAATTTCGCATCTACGGTATCATTTAATGAGTCATTCCATTTAAAAGAAAATATTTATTTGTTTTATGAGTTTGTCAAAAGTAGGTTTCGATATTTGTTCGGAATAACGTACACATTCTGCCCATAGCAAAAAAGATACGGTAATTCATGTTAAAACGATCTGTGCAAAGGTTTTTAGCTTTTATAACTAAAGAAACCGAAAATGTAACAATATATAAGATGTTCTATTTAAAAATAATGAAACACCCTGTATGACTGAAAATATTTTCTATTTATGCACCATATCATTCCAGAGAACTTTTATAAAAACATTTTCTTTTTAAAATGTATAATAAGAGTTATGAACGAAATCGTCTTAGATAGAATACGGGAACACCCTGTATAATTATACTAAGAGCGTTTGTTATAATAAAAGTCGATAAAGGATTGTAAACGTAATTGAAAGTGTTTACCTCGGCAACATCGGGTTTAGAGCGATTTTTGCGAATGATCGATTTTGAGTTTCCCCATCCACCAATAAATACTTCATACATGGGATCAGTTTCGGCAGCTTCAGTTGTAAGGGCAATATGGGCATCGTTAGCAGCACGAACTCTAAACTGAAACTGACCACTGATGTTTGGTAGGAAGTTGTATTTTAATTCGTCTGGGGTTTCAACTTCTGCAAATTATTATTAAAACTCCAATATTATAAACTGCACATTTTTCTTCGATATTACAGGCTTCAAATTTATTCTTATACGAAATGTAGATGTACCTATACAAACTGACCTGGCCAAAAAATACGGTATAAAAACCATATAATCAGCAGTAATAGTAAATTGCTTTGGAAGCACAAATAACAATTGCATCGATTAGTTTCCAAAAAGATTACGAATTGAATTAAAAGAACAGATAGAAAATTTCTTTTATGATACGCTATATGCTCTCAACTTGTTTTTAAAAAAGAAAATAATATAGTTAACATTTTAATATAAATAAAAGTCCTTGGAATAAATTATTAGAAAAAAGCATCAAATTCCAAATTAGTTAAACAAATCATAACTAGAAAACCATTAAATTACTGCCAAACAGTAAAATACTGTAAAATCTCGCCACTGTAAAATGCATATTTCTTTAATATAACAAATTTTGTGTAATTTTTGTAAAATTGCACGATTATTAAAAAAAAAAAACGCGTTTTACTGGTATTTGTAAAAGTATGCACCTACGTTGGATATAAGTTATAATCGGTACAAAGTAAATATTTTTATAGATTCGTCTTTTTATAAATAATTTATGCATTATTGTTAGTGTTTACGGTTACTAATGTACGTAAAATAAATGATGATTTAATTAACGGTGACTCGGTAACTATAAATAAGTATTGCTTAACCTTCTTCGAAGTCAAGCGAATTCCTATTCGGTGTGACCGGTATACCCAATAGCCAACGGGAAAATATTCTTACTTGGAAACACAAAATATTTAAGAATAACGAAGATGAAATCTTAACATGTTAGGGTTACATTTTACATTAAATTTGAAGTTATTGCTTATAGATAAAAAAAAGCAGTCAAATTGACTTCACTTCTATATACATACATGTTGCAGGATGCACTACTTAACGTATCTACAATGAATATATATGCATAATGCAGCGCATTGATTGTTTAAAAATATAAATACTTTATTTTATTGATACTAACCAATTGGTGCACTCATGTCTAATATCTTCAACAAACCACTCGAAAGGAAAGGTGAAAAATCAATGCAAGACGCAACGTATGAAATACACAGTCGTAGCAGCAACAACAGCAACCACAGACAACTGACCGTAAAGCAACCTCGAAGAAGTGACACTACTATTTGATACTTGTTTTCTACCGCTATAAGTAATGTTTAGCGAATTGGAATTGACCTTCAATTAATAAATAATAGTGTCACGTTTGCGCACTCTTTTCGGTATGGTTGCTGTTTGCTGTTCTCTAACCAAATTGATACGAGCGTACATAATAAGTCCTATCTTCTCACGATATGAAGAAGAATGGTATGATTATATGTATGTGTACGAATGAAAAAGATTATTATTTTCTTAGCGAATAATTAGATAATTACTACTTTGGTAACAATTTCACTACTTTTGTGTAATTGGGGACTAAAAATGGCACCTATCTGTGGCAACGAAAAAATTATGTAAAACTATGATTTACAAAATAGCGTCAAGTCAGTACCCGTTACTACATTTTTACATTTTATTTTTACCTAAATTTTCACATATAAATATTAAATAATAATAATAATTGTGAACTAATGGAGCTTATTGAATAGAAATCTAGAAGCGCACACTTGTTTAGCTGTATTTTGAGATTATTGGCGATTTTGTCACATCTCTAGCGCCACTCTGGCGTTTTGTATGCCAGGGAAAATACATTTAGGCCAGGGCGATGACTAAATATGAATAAAAATTTGAAACTGAAGGATTTCGTTATCAGTGAATAAAAAATGATTCAGTAAAGAAGCCCCAGTTAAAAGAAAAAGAAAAACTAGTGTTATTGTTAATGTTAAAGAAATTTAGTTTTTAAGTTAAATGTTAAATTTACAAAGATTGTAATAATGATCAATGTAAGACTGATAGGTACAACCTATACTTTAAGCATGTTGTTTTATTTTGTAAAAAGGGGTTTTATTTTTATATTCATATTTATTTGAATATATCTATTATTTTATATTTAATATTTTATGATTTCTATTCATTTGTTTGTATTCAGATTTTAAATATAAATACTCATAGGATGTCACTTCCCTGTCTCGATTTGTCACTATCCTGTCCCTGACTACCCATTTTCGCCTGGTACTTATAAAACTTAAAAAAAAATAATTGATCTGACTCATAACATTAGACATACATACACATTGCAAAGTTGAGAGACATTTAATCTTAATTCAAAAACATAACTTTTTCTCTGGGGCCACTGAAAATACCTTTATCATATATTCACCCATAAACAAATTTTGGTAAAGGTGGAGGTTGATCCCCCACTCCCGATGACCTTCAACTTATAGCATGTTATGCTTAACAAAAATATGTATGCATGTTGGACGCGAAAATGACATCTTCATGGTGTAATTGTGCTCTGTTTAGGTGTCGTACATACACAGACAGTGCATATGCCCTCATAATACTATATTGTGGGTTCTACTTATGGGCTCCGCGATCTTAGCACCTCAGGTGTTTATTTCAATTAACCAATTATACCATCTGAAAGGTCAGAAATTAGTCATAAAAGTCAGTTGGTTTTATTAATTGGTCAGCGTTAGAAAAATTTTTATTAAGGGTTAACGTTTTTCAAGGTCATTGTGAAATATTAGTACCTCATTCGCATCATCATAAGGTCATCAGTCCTAAAACTGGTTGGACACGTACCTCAACTCTTTCCTATCCTGAGCTAAACTTCGCATTTCCCTAAAACTTCCTTAACTATTTGCGAACAGTAATCTAATCTAGATCTACCTACCAGACCTTCATGCCTGAGAAGGTGTCCTACCAACCTATCTCGCCTATTTTTTATTGACTTTCAGTCCTCTGTTCTCCTATTCTTTCCAATACCTCATCATTTCTAACCTTTTCTACCTACGATATTCTCATCATCCGCCTATAACACCATTCTAGCATACTTGAAGAATATTGTTCACAAAAGTCTACCTGATTACAAATTGAAAAACAAAAAACCTACGTTTATTCTACTGTAATTACACCAGTTTAAAACTACAACTTACTGTAGCGTGCGTGACGTTAATAGATAGAGGTATCAGTCTATTTGTGAGACTAGAGGGGGATAAGGATGTGATTATGGTCTATTTGCGAGGCCAATAGTCAGACGAAGATGAATCTGTTAGCGACACTGGTTTATTCAATTTATTTACATTCCNTGCCTCAGCATTTGCCTAAGTGATCCAAGGAAACCACAGAAAAACTTGGACCAAGGCAGACGGACCCGGAATCGAACCGGCGTTCTCCCGAATGCTAAGCAATGGTCTAAAAAGAAGAGGGATAAATCTATACCTTCACCCAAATTTTTATTGTTTATGAAGTTTAATCGATTTTTTGTATTTTGACTAGAGCACTTATTACATGACTTTTATAATCTTTTGTTGTGAGAGCTGTTTTGCTGGTTTAAATGTGCATAATAGAAATACATAAATTAAAAAACAAATGAAAATACTGTAATTAAAATATGTTCTTAATAAAGACGATATTGGTAAAGGTCTAGATGATGGCCCCCACCCCCGTTGGGGATGGAAAGAGAAGGTCTCCCCCACTACTGTACCAAGTTCGTGGCGGTCTCACCCCAACAAAAAGTTATGGGGGTTGAAAGTTAATAAATATGCCAATTTTTATACATTTTTAGACATGTAAATATTTATTCTTAAACAATATTTAAAGGTNGGTTAGGTTATCGGGTTTTGATCAAGTGACCACCCCCTTTCGATCCCCCACCTCCAACCGCTTGAAAATATTTTGAATTTTATTTGAATTATAGTGTATGAAAATTGTCAAAATAATCAACTTTCAACCCCCATAACTTTTTATGGGGGTGAGACAACCACGAACTTTTTATAGTACAGTGGTGGGGGAGACCTCCTCTTTCGATACCACCCACCCCCACCCCCGAATCATTTAGACATTTATCGAGCACTATTCTCGTAGGTACGTTAATTTTATATGGCACATTCGTACGTTGCGATAGCAGACTGTTTGTGAAAGCTTAGATGATGGCAAGGTGAGCTACGTAAACGTGAGTTTTAAGTGACTCCAGGGCACTACACGTCGGTACGTAACGTGGGCTGGTAGTTTACAACGTGAGACAGTCGCTCTTGCATCAGTACTTTTTATGAATAAATGACTGTTGCCGATGATCGAAACAAAGCCATGGAATTTTAACCCGAACACTGTGCCCGAACTGTCAAAGCAGAACGAGAAAGCTATTTCCGAAAAGTAACAGAATGCAGAATAAGTTAGTAAAGAGGCACGCTCAAGGTTGCTGTTTTCATTTACAATATATATATATAAGTTTGAACGGGCCGCCAAACTTAGTCATCTAACTCCATCTAGGAGACAGTTAGTGACTTGACTTGAAAGGAGTGTGAGTGGGAGAAAAGGAGGGCCACTGGTGTGAATTAATATTGTTAATTTAGGTTAACGACAATTGTATTGAATCAGGTTGGTTAATTAGTTATAAGCACTTTGTAAATAGTTTATTAGTATCAGCTAATCAGTAATTATGTTTTGTTATTTCAGTTGTTTTTACTGCATCAAGCATTCTTTGATTTATAACCTTTAAATCTCCACTCCTCATTAAGTTACTGATTTCGTAACTTACATATATCGAAAATTACACACTGTATAATACGGAATATGTATACAGCAGCTTGCAAACAATAATTTACCAGGATTAGGAATGTTTAAGTTTTAATTTTATATGGCACATTCATACGTTATATTACCACCCTGAAAAGTGCACAACTTTTCTGAAAGTAGGTGTTCTCTTGTTACAAAAAAAAATATGAAAGATGATAACATTTTGAATAAGATAATAACAATTAGAACCGGTCTAAACAAAAAGCAATCTCGTTTGTTCGCTTCCCGAACTTCTAGGTATCCAGGTATATTTCGTCTATTTAAATGTGTTTTGCTTCTTGTCAAGTGCCTTTTGTGTTTGCACGTAAAGCTAAAGTTCCTATCATCTCCACTATATATCAGAAAATAAACTGAAATAAACCGTTAGAACGGTATATACTACGTCTTTCAGTTTTAACTGGCTGACCATTCAGCCGGGCGCATAATTACAAATTTGTTAAAAAAAGGTATAGTAAACAGCGTAGATACGATCTTAAAACTTAGCGTCCTTTGGAGGTGACAAACATTACCTTCCCCTCTAAAGCCGGCACTGATCCTACAATGATGTATATCTTTTAGTATTTTTCAGTACACAACTACTATCGACTTCATTCTATTTATTAGGAGTAATGTGTCAGTCATTTGTTTGATGCCTCGAATCCAATTAAAAACAACCGCCACCTCAATATTGACGCCGGTAACCGCATCATTTTCTCGCTACATCAGCTAGTTTGATGTGACGCAAAATTGAAAATTGGTATCGTTTATCATGTATTCAATGATGTATGTTCCCATTGCCTAAAGAGAGAGCCACCTAGAATGTTACTTTTACGTTTTAATGTGGCCACTTAAGACTTTGAAGGGCTATGGAGTTGTGTGAACGTGAAAACGCTATCTTTTGTACGTCACGTAGAAAACTCACGTTAACGTTCTAGGTCACGTAGGTTCGCAAACTGTCTATTATCGCACAAAAAAACTTTTAACACGCTAGGAATTACCTGCCAGTACCCTTAAAGTACTCGGGTGTTTTCCAATTACAGAGCACAATGAGACTCAGTACTAGATAATGCCGTAGTGTCACAGCCACCTCTGTCTTACCGGCCAAGAACAAGTATGGAGCAACACGGCAAATTGTCGGTCATGCGGGTCTACTTGGGGGTCTACATGACTACCATACCATAACATTTAGAATACTTATTTCGATATTGAATTATTGCAAACGATACGTAAAATACTCGGGAAATAGTAAAAAGAAGTTCGTATATTGTGTATAATTAAATGTTTTGAACACTTATTAGCTTTCCAATTATTGCTAAAAACTGGTTTGCATAGGATTTTAACCACTTCATCCATAGACTGCATTAACGAATTTATTAAATACTCTTAAAACTGGCAAACAAGTACGATCAGGAATTTGTCGTTCTTGTGTTTTTTAATATCACTTAAGTATGTCTCTGCCTTTAATTTCCTATATGTGAAATTTCGTAAGTTTCTCGGTGGCAGAAGGTACAGGACCTTAGAAAGCTGTAAGTACCGCGTGCGACAACTAACAAACCGTTGTAGCCAATTTTCTTGCATGTCAAGTTACAGTGAAGAATGTGCTGGTAAATGTTTTAATATCACTTTGTTCCTTGTAATGCTTACTTTGTGATTTTTATGTAACATTATCAACAAAACTGGTATTGTTTTGCACCATGCATATAGATCACTAAAACAATTTCCCAAAATTTCATATAACACAAAATGAAAAACAATAAGTAGTACTTGTCTACATCACTTATGTATATTTATAAATAAATACATTAACGTAACATTTGCAATACTAGTCCACAATAAGTTATAAGTATGAGTATAACTAAAAAAATAAATTACAATTTACATGGAATTTTATTTTCACAGTGCACACCTGGTGCAATTATATACTCACTTCTGAAAAATATATTTTGCTAACTAACTATTGCTCACTTTTTGAATCGTGTAGGATATTTTGTATCATTGTGTATGCTAAACCAATAGTGAGTGTACCAACTGCAATACCTTGAGCACCTACTCGTAATTGCATTAAAAACACACTAGGACTCATTTGACCCCTACTTTTGAATTTGTATGCTCCATAAGCAACAGCTGCTACACAACCAGCAATAGCTACAAAAATGCATAGTAGTGAGAAATGACAATTTATCACTATTATTAACAATTAAGTAATTTTAATTTTTTTTATGATTATAAATAAATAATTGTAGTGTGAAATTACAACAGACAGTACCTAAAACAATTAAAAAATCAATTTTATTGTTTTTGGCAAAATGAAACAAAACATTGATTTGACCAAAATGTAAACCAACACACTTTTACTGCGATGCTAATAAAAGCACTAAATTTGTAATATGGGATGTTTTTCTTGTATGAAGCTACTACTGCTTTTGATGTATCAATTATCCATAAAAGCAAAATATTTCACTTTTATATACTTCATTTCCAATTATACAAACCTATTGGAAAAACTGGTGTTTCTTTTGACTTTCTTGCTAACCTGTCTGACTGTGATTCCTGTTCATACACGAACACATTTTTTTCAGACATTTTACTGGCTAAAAAGAAAACATTAAAATATTACATAACTATAGTGCCAAATGTAAATGGGATTAAACCTAAAAAATTTATTAATTTATAACAATTATTAAATTTAAAATTTTAATATCTGAAGTGTAATAAAATAACGTTGAAAATTATTGGTCAATTTAATATGAACTGGGGAAATTGTAAGAACTATGCTGCTTAATTATTATACAGCAGCAATTAGCTACAAAAGTATGTAACTTACATAAAGCCATTATTTGCAAGCCAAATAAAACTGATACTGAAATAAACTCAGCAATAAAATATGTACCTATAACTGGTTGCTAAATCAATTTTACTTTTCTTTGACCTTGGGATGACTATGAAGTTAAACTTTAACCTTTTGTGGTTGAATTGTTCTGACTGGTTCGACTAGTTAATGGTTACTGACGAAACACGAAATATAGACGAATTCAAAATTTTTTTAAAGCCTCCCACTAATTTTTTATCAATTTGAACTATCTGACACTTTTTAACGTTAATTGAAAACAAAAACTGCAAACTTATTTAAAACAAGACGAACTGAATTTTACTATTAATTACTTCAAATATTTTAATATGTATAGTATATGCCTTTATTCCTAATTTTGATCATTGTTGATCATTATTATTTTCAGCAATTCATCATTCTTTCCAAAGGTTCTTTCAATGTCATGTGTCAAACATTTATTACCTCACTACACGTCTAGAGCTCTATTTTAGTCACAATTGCTAGTCACTATCACTCACGTCTCGCCTCATGTTCTATATGTCATAGATTAGAAGCGACGTTAAAAATCGCAAGACTCCGTAGCATTTGCGCAGATGCGAAATAATTTTGCCGTTTTCCATGATTTTAGTTCTGTCAGCGCTGTTAGCTTTTTATTAATTTTTATTCGAATTCGAACAGATGATCCCAAACCTCTTCAGCAATAGTTTATAACTTTATTACTGCTGTTATATTAGGTAAGGTTTCGAGTAAACAGGAAATATGAATTCAAAAAATACCTCTGTATCCACATAAAATGCAAATACTTTATTTAATAATATGAACATAACAGTAATAATTAATTATCTTCTTGAACTAGAAAAAAACGTTTAACTTCTTAGTAGTATTCCATTTTCTATCAAGAAAAAGGAATGCTTAGTTAATTTTGGACTATTTTTACTTTGAAGGGAATTATTATTCTTTAACCATTTTACGTCTCCTGGAATTCTTATTTATGCATTTTTTAATTGTTTCGCGTCTGCGCAAATACTAGTCTTGCGATGATTTGGAATTCTCAGAATTTGCAGCTCTCGTTTGGTGCAAGCCTAGAAGTTTTTAACAAAACTGAACCAATATTGAATGGGCAAATGCTCGAAATAAAGTTGTTTTTCTGGTATAGTAATTAGTTAATGCAACAGTTTAATTCAAAATACCACTACAATATACCTACAATTTAAAGAAGTTTCATTTCTTAGGCGTGTACACATACACGCTCGCCTCTTTTTTTAAAATTAAGTAATTGATCAAGTGGAGAGAATAATTCGTTTTTTAAGTATTTAGAAAGCTATTAAAAAGTAATAGTGCAAATTCTTCCTAATGTTATTATTTGTGTAGGTTATAAACGCTATTCTATTATTTATTAATCTATAGAAATAAAATATCAGGTACGATTTTATTCAATATTTACTTAACCTAACTATATTATTTATTTAATACAATTTAATCTAGTCTGATTTCCATGGATCTTCATAATTTTCAATGGTTAAAGTTTTACACCTCCTTAGTTTTACATAAAAACCTTCTCCTTTTGGTGTGACAGATAATATTTCTACTCTGCCAACAGTTAAGAATTTTGGATTATTAATATCTGTTCCTTTAATAATATCTAATTCATCCCCTTCATTAACAACTTCACTTTTTTTAAAAACTTTTTTTCCATTTACTCTTATTCTGCTCTGATAAAACAATTCCTCTATTTTACTTCGGGCCATTCCTAAACCTGCTTTAAGTATAACATCAGCTCTTAACGAGTTTACTTTTACTTGTAAAAGCTTTGTGGTTTTATCAACAAGTTCTTTATCAAAATCATCAATGTCATCTTCCAATTCATAATCATCAGTAGAAGCTTCTTGTTTCACTTTTTTGGATTTACTTTTGTATCTCACACTTGAAACATTTTTTAAAACACAACTATTTAAAAGGTTTGTAGAAACGTTAATACAAATATTGCATTGTTGTTTTCTTAATTGGGGAAGTATAGCCTTTCTCGAAGCTGTGCAAAATGCTCTAAGCAGTGGTAATGACATCTAAAATTTTCTCTTTTATAAATTAGTATAACCATTAACGTATTTTGCCTTTGCAATAACAATTACTTATAATAGTTCAATTAATTTTGCTTATTATTATTCACTGTAGTTCTATACATAGATATTGTAATGTTCTATATATGCCATCGACCATAGATAACAGCCGCCGACTATAGCCATAGATTAAAGATATATACTTGGCTTCCATTGAAGTGTTAGCTTCTTATTAAATTGTATAAAAAAAGGTGCGAAATTTCAATAGGTTTAAGTTTTGTTTCTAGTTTTAATTTTGAGGACTGTAATAAGGCGAAACAGAGGAACGAATGATAACTTGCTTCAGCATTTTCTGAATTTTTTCATTGTGGATATCAGGAAATCTATTTATTGTAGAATTTATAAGAGCTGGATCAGTTGGGTTAATTTGGTGTTGGATAGAATTAGTGGGGCAAGCTAATCTTACGAGGAGTTCCACATCTGACTCAAATTGTTGAAGGGTCTCGTTCCTTCGTTGGTTACAGCTTTTCAGTTGCGTCTGATGTACCTGTTGCCGATGTTTATCGCCGTATCTCATTTCTAAGCTATTGACAAGATGATGGAAATCATATTTGTAAAGAGTCTGGCATTCCTTGACGTATATCCCGTGCCTTTCCTCGCAAAGAAATTATTAGCGCTACCAGTCCAGGAATTTGCCTCTATCGCTTCTGCAAACTGTTTCAAGTAAGCAGACCACGAGATCTTTCCATCAAAAGTTGAAGGTGTAATTTTCGAAGGCCTTCCAATGGGATCTTCAGATCTTGCAGTAGAGAGTATTTTTAGCCGTTCAATTTCTTCTTTCATTTCTTCAATCTCCTTTTCCATTATGATTTGCTTTTTTTTGTATCTTCATTTCCATCTTAATTTCTCATTCTTCTATCTTCTTATCCACACTATCAGGAATAAAACCTTTCAAGAAAGATGCACGACTCCTTTTTGAACATTTGCTTCATGAATCTTGTCCAGTTAGATTCTTCTATATCTTCTCAATTTCAAAATCTTTCTTCATCATAAATTTAAATCGTAAATATATTTAGTTACTGGAAGTTATATTAGGAAATCATATTGTAGCGACCACGAGCGTGATTGTGTGCAATCGGGCATACGTGTGTGTGAGCGGCTTATCGATTCGCCGACTAGCCGCGGGCGCTTTTCTTCATGCGCGCCGTATCTGTAAACGTGTGTGTCGTACCTGCGTTCCGGGAAAGCAATTAAACCGTTCAAAGAAAACGAGACTTCTCTGGACGGCTGGAGAATGTTCCCGAAAAGAGGCAAGGGAGTATAAAAAGGAAGAGACGATCGCCGAAGGAGAGTAGAAATAAATTGACTGTTGTAGAAATGAAAGAGTAGAAATAAATTGACCGTTGCAGAAGTGAATCAAGAGATAAATTGACAGTGATAGAAGTGAAATAAATAGAACAGTGAATAGTAACAGTAGCGTAAATAAATAGACTAATTACCTAAGTTTAGTAATAATTGAATAGTGTTTTCAAGTTATTTAATAATTAGTGTAAATAAATAGTTTTCTTCTTAAAATTTAATTTGTTAAACCAACCAACATTACAACTGGTGTCAGGTGTGGGGTTAAGTAAAAGACATTACAATGGCAAATCAGTTGTACGAATTAAAAGTAGCTGAGCTAAGAAGAGAATTGGAAGAACGGGATGAACCGACAAGCGGTAACAAATCGGAACTTCAGTGGCGGCTCGCGGAGGCGTTGAAAACGGATGGCCATGATCCCGAAACGTTTCTTTTCGAAGACGAATTGTCGCAAGTCTTGAAACGTGAATTGGAAGAAAATAGTAAAATCTTGAAACGTGAATTGGAAGAAAACAGTAAAAGTTTGGAAAATAAATTGGAGGAAAATAGTAAAAGTTTGGAAAATAAATTGGAAGAAAATAGTAAAAGTCTGAAACGTGAATTGGAGGAAAACAGTAAAAGTTTGGAAAATAAATTGGAAAAAAATAGTAAAAGCTTGAAACGTGAAAGTAGTAAAAGTTTGAAACGTGAATTGGAAGAAAACACTAACAGTTTGGAAAATAAATTGGAAGAAAACAGTAAAAGTTTGAAACGTGAATTGGAGAATAAATGGGAAGAAAAATTTAATAAGAATATTCAAGAAACAGAAGAGAAGATAAAAGTGTTAGAAGAATTGATCTTTAATGGAAAGACAAAACCAATGGTGCATCTAGTACACTCAACGAAGACAGCCAAATCAGCCAAGGAAGCGGGATAGAGTCAAGAACACGAGTAAAACCACCAACGTTTGATGGAAAGTCCTCATAGGTCACATACCACAAGCAATTCGAGGCGGCTGCTAAGGTGAACAACTGGGCGCCTGAAGAAAAAGCCACTGCGTTGACCGTTGCGCTTCGTGGAGATGCATGTGACATTTTGAACACCCTTTCCCCGGATGAGTTGGCGGATTATGAACAGTTGGTTGATAAGTCTTTGTTTTCCTTTTAAACAGTTTATTCACACACACTTAATCCTAACTTATATACTAACACTACAACTAGAATAACAATAAGTAAGAACAAACATGAAACAAAATATATACAGTGAAAAAAAAATACAAATACAGGCAAGAAATATCTATATACAAAAAAAAGTCTGAGCAAGACCAAAAAACGCTGGTTGAAACACCTACTCAATAAACTGGCACTCGGAGGCTAACGGCTAGGCGAAAGCAAAGAAAACAGGGGTGGCTGGTGATGGAACTGCTTCTTCCTTGCCGTGGGTCGGTGGAATATTGGAGCTGCTGGTACTGAAAAAAAAAAAACTTTTGGGTGTTTCATTCCCACCAGCCAGTAATGCTGGTGGGCGGGCAGTCCCTCCGGATTATGTCGGAAGGTAGGGCGGAAGGCCCTCTTCAGCCTGCTTTCAGGAATCGTGGGAATGGGTGGGTGTTGGCTCGGGTGAGAAAGATGAGACGGACGAAATGAAGACAGAAGAGAGTGAAAGATTATCTGTGGAATATTACTGCCTCAGTATTTGCCTAAGTGATCCAAGGAAACCACAGAAAAACTTGGACCAAGGCAGACGAACCCGGAATCGAACCCGCGTCCTCCCGAATGCTAAGCAATGGTCTAGACCTCTAGGCCATGCCGCTCGGTGCTGGTACTGAGGAATGCACGGTTATTTATACCACGCTAGGGTTGGGAAAAGGAGGAGTTGAGAGTGGGATAATGGTGGGGTGATAAGAGAAGGGCGAAAGGTAATGATACAAACGAATTCGCTTTTATCGTTAACTTCGCGGAAAAAAATAAAAAAACTAACTATAGGAAACGACAGGGCATGTATGAGAATATAGTGTTAGAAAGAAGAGCGGTGGTTCTACGATAAAAATGAATAAAAATAGAAAAAAAAAAGAGAAAAAAAGTTGATTGCACGAAGAAAGTAAGGAAGTCAAAAAAATAGAGAAAAAGAAGGGATTAAGTAGGAAACTACAACCAAACAACGGGAATAAAAAAACAAGAGTAAAGTAAAATATAAATATATAAGGGAATTAAAAATAGAAGATAAAAGTTGCTATTGTAGGTAAGTTTGGTTGTAGCACAGGGTAGTTCAGGTAGCCGGTCACGGGAAAACCTGTAGTTATCGTGTTCCAAGAATAAATTTCGTAGCTAGCAGGTACAATCCACAACATGATAAAACGGTTGGAGTTACGCTACGGCGAGGCTCATTTAACAGCGGTGTATCACATCCAACTGGAAACCCGTCAACAGAAACCAACGGAATCCCTACAAGAATTCGAGGCCGATATTGCGAGACTGTCCCTACTGGCCTATCCTAATACTCCAGAAGAATTGATGGAAAGGTTGGCAGTGGAGGCATTTACTGATGGACTTCGGGACAGTGACACTCAACAACGAACTGACCTACCTAAGACGCTAGCTGATGCATTGGCTCGTGCATTGGAGTACGAAACTGTTAAACAGGCCTATACCAGACAGGGAAGGGTTCGGCTACTGCGTGAAGAAACGGATTCGTCAGAATCTCTAGAAGAAACCGTCTGACGAATCATCTCCAAGTTCGATAAAGAAACACGAAGGCTAAGATGTTGGAATTGCGGCAAACTAGGACATACGAGGAGGCAGTGTAGGAAAAGTACTCCTTCCCCAAGTACTCTACGTCAAACAGACTGCAAGCAGTTAGGTCGAATGGAAAAGAATGAAGAGGTCATTCGACGCGTCACGGTAATCGATGACGAATGGTTACCTGACAATATAAAACACCAAGAAAACGACCCGGACTTGAAGAAGATAATGGAATGGAAAGAAGACGGAAAACGGCCAACGTGGCAGCAAGTTTCTTCCTGTACACAAGTACTAAAATCGTTATGCGCTCAGTGGGATTCAATGGTATTGGAGGATGGCATTCTGAAGCGTGTTGTTGAAAGTCCAGATGGAGAGGAAGATAGGAAGCAACTGGTTATTTCTCGAAACAAGGTTATAGAGGTGTTGCAGTATCTTCATGACGGATCATCTGGCGACCGTTTTGGAGTGAATAAGACGCTTGGGAAAGTTCGAGAACGATTTTATTGGGTGAACTGTAAGGATGATGTCAAGGATTGGTGTAAGAAGTGTACCACCTATGCTGCGAGTAATGGACCACAGAAAAGGCCATGGGCGCCAATGCGTCAATACAATGTCGGTGGCCCCTTCGAACGAATCGCAATCGATGTGGCGGGTCCATTCCCAGAGTCCGAGAAAGGTAACAAGTACATCGTGGTCGTTATGGACTATTTTACCACGTGGGTTGAAGCCTATGCCCTTCCGAACCAAGAGTCGGAAACCACAGTTGAGGAGCTGGTGAAAGAGTTGATCAGTCGTTTTGGGATGACCTTGGAGTTGCACTCAGACCAAGGGAGGAATTTCGAATCGGCTATATTCCGTGGAATATGCGAGCTTCTAGGAATAAAGAAAACTCGAACCACTCCACTCCGTCCACAATCGGACGGCATGGTTGAATGAATGAACCGGACCTTGATTAAATATCTCTCCAAGGTAGTGTCTGACCACCAAAGGGACTGGGACCGCTAGTTACCTCTATTCCTAATGACATACCGCTCATCTATCCACGAAACGACTGGCCAAACACCTGCCAGTGTCCTTTT